GTACTATAAATGTTTCACCATCACACACGTTCTAACGTTCCTATCAAACGCAACGTAACTAAAAACTAAAAATTTAACTATAATATCACACGGAGTGTATCGTGAATATCTATATAACGTGTTCAATCGTACATTTTGTAGAATATCTGTCGAGTTCTAACACTCTTAACGAGATAGATGCAAGACAGTAACTACAAGTGTGGCCATAGTATACGACAGCCTTGACATTGTGATATTTCTTGACTGACCCATAATCGTGTGACCACTAACACGTAAATATAGGACTTTCGCGACCTCTGAATAGACAATAACACAAGCGCATACTCATTTATTGAATATAGATAACTTGTATTTTAATAAAAATAAAAAGCTATCACGTAATGGCTATTAATCATTCAACATCATTTTGAATTTATTCAGAAAAAATATAGAACGTACCTATTAATTATTAAATGTAGTGTTGGATATCACAAATTAAAATTTAGGTAATTATTCGTACGTGGGTATATAATTAGTCAATAATTAGTAAATATATAATAACAGAGATGACAGATAAATGTAATTTAAGCCTTAGAAAGTTCAGAATAATCCATACTGCACTATTATTTTTAACATTATAGCTAATTAACCTAGTATCTAATTTTAAAATAGAAATATTATAAAAGGGCCTATTGTAGGTTTTTATTTTTTATTTTTACCAAAAAATCCCTTTAATATTAATATTAACAAACTAAAATGGATTACTTTTAACCAAATATTTGCTATGTTGTATATGTGTAAAACGAAGGCAACTCTGTTTGTTTGCAATATTTATAATTCAATTATTGTCCAATAACGACTTACCTGTAAAAGCCAAATCGAGTGATTAAGTTGGTGACGATGGTCCGACCACTGTCATCAATACCACGTAAATTATTATTTGCATTTCCCGTGTGTCTTAGTACTAGAAGAACAACATCATATTTTCAAAATGATAGATGTTTTAATCAGTCAAATATAAAGTGAAATTATATATATATATATGAATTATGAATTATGAACTATATTATTGTACTAGCTGAATTACCCGGAAAACTCCTTTTAGATGTACAACACTATGGAAGCAAAGTCTTTTTAAGTATAAATTATATAATTTTTGAATGTGTAGCTACATGTGTATTTTTGTTTTTTTTTCATATTATTTTAGAATATTATTTATAAATAATAACATTGTGGTATATCTTTGTTGCCGTATAATATCAATGATTAAATTATAATCACACGGCGTATTGAATAGGCAATTTAGGTACAATAAATCACTTGTAATGATATTAATATTATTGTTATTGTTATCCGATGCCAATTATTAATACTATTATTAAAATACAAAATATACCTACATTTAAATAAAAATAACAAATATGTTTAATTTAATGATAATATACAAATAAATTATAAATAGTATTGACTGATAAACATTTCGTTCATATGTTTAAGTTCTTATATTTCATAAAGTAATATATCTACAAAGACAGACTTCCAAATCGGAATTAAGTACACTACTGTCAATAATATTCTTTTAATATTTAGAAATATGGCTGCAGTCACTAAAATGTGATGGCTACTGTTTTAACGAAATGTACAACTCACGTATTTCGAGTCTAACTAAAAAATCACGAACAATTTGAAATACCACCCGTTTAGTTGCATAATAAGAAACTTATGTTCACATAGTATTCCATTTTTGAAGACTTTAACGATCGATGGTCATAGACTAGCGGATCATTTGCTATTGCGCGAATTCCACCCACTAATTTCAACATGGTGGATTTCGTAAATGTAAAATTAGTAATTTTATATTATAATTCTAAAAAATAACCGAACTTGCAGGTATGAACCAACCTTATATATTATTAAAATATAATATTCTGATTGAATTCTACAAAAAACCAGTAAAGCAATGTCACATGATACTTTTCGTTATAATCGACTGAATTCTGATCATAATATCAATGCTCATAAGACCGATATTTCCACTGTTGTGTTAAATATATTGTATAAGCAGCGTCTGTGGCTATTTTATATGATCCAATTGAATATTCCTGACTCCAAAAACTATCAGAGAAAAAATTATATATTACACATCGTTTATAATATTAAATTGGATTCACTAAACATTTAATATAGGTACTTATAACTGACGTGCTCTCTGTTCTCAAAAATACATTTTTTTTCACATCTTAGTATTGTTAAAGTACCTCACGTATTCTTTTGTTTAGTCTATATCTGAATGTACTATTTTTGTTCATTAAAAATTAATTAGTACTCTTAAAGAATTATTGTTAAACTTTAATCATATAAAAAAAAATACGGTACCTATAAGACATTATTAAAATTATTAAATATAACTTAAGTTCCCTTTTATGTATCGAAAGATGCTCTTCGCAGGGATTTCATCATTACGTCAGTCAAAAATGTTGCAAAAACACAATACAAACGCTTCCAGCTTAAACTAGCAAATCACCGTAGCCACTTCTTCCAAAATCTCTCTTTCCAAATAATCTCTGGTGACTGACCGTCGTTTAAAGCGTAATTGTGGGTACCGTGACATGCTAGTCGACTGACCATCATCACTGCCACCAACGTCATGAAATTCAATTACTGAATACTTTTTTTCAATCTAGTCAATCTAGCCCACTCATTTATACCTCCGTTTATTGTGCTCACAGTAAAAATATGTTATACAGATTGTGCAAATTAAAAAATATATATGCCTATGACAAAAAAAATATATGAAGTATGAATGATATTCTATAAAGATCAAAAAAATAATAAACGTTTAAAAAAATCGATTTCTATTAAAGCTGTATATAATATTACTTACATGGTGCATCATTATAATACTCAATATTAGGTATAATGTATGCTTATTGATAAGTACTTAGGTATATATCAACGTAATTATTATTCGTAAGTCATCCGCAATAACAAAAAATTAATTTTTACGTACTGAATCACAGACATTTCGGTTATGTATTCTAGTGTAGGGTAATTGTTGATGCCTGGAACACGGTGTAGAGGTTTTGCAGCAGATGAACAAAGAATGGTCATCCTGCAGACCAATATAGAATTTAATTTCGTGGAGAAAAATTTGGGTTGCGACTGACTTGCGAGTGACTGCATTCATCAAAAATTGTAGCATAAATTATCAGTATATAACATGATAACAATTAAATCATATTTGCGGTTAAGAATTTCTACTTTTAACCCCGTCGGTTGTTGGTGCCATCATAATGAAGATAAAAATAACTAGAAATGATAGTTGTATATACCATGACTTTTAAGTACTTTTTGGTCGGTGTTCAATAGGAATCCTTGTTGAAAATCCTATTATGCACATCAACGTATTCAGACCTCGTGCATTCATATCTGATTGGTAATAGCTGCTTGATATGACTTAGTTGCTGAAACTGATAACATAAAAAAATATATATAAATAAAAACCATTTAGTATGTATAAAGTTATTTGAAAGAATATTTTGTAAAAAGGTTGAGCTCCAAACTTTGTAAGTGCATATTTTTTTTCGAAACCTGACAAAAATGAACGTCGGTTATATTTTGGTCAAATTGAAATACAGTATATTGTATAATACTTGCACACACATACTGCACGTGTAGCAGTGCCGCAACTACCACCAGGGCAAGCAGGGCAAAGCCCTGCCAAAGGGCCCAAATTTATTTTTCAAAGGGGGCCCATAATGGATGGATACTATTATAATTTTTCCTGGTTTTTGATTTTGTAAAAATGTACTTTGAATTGAATTATTTTAAATATTAACTAGTAAGGAGTTCATAATCGATTAGTAATAATGCGGTAAAAGTCTATGCTTTATGGTATAAGCACGATTAAAGATGATATATAGTACTATATATAGCCGTAGTAGTATAAAGTCTTTGGCGGCAAGTCAATTTAATTTCATAGATTTATTCTGTGATAAAAGATAAATGATGAAAAAATCATCGATCATCTTGGCGTTGGCTACTCTGAATACACAGTTTGTCTTATAAACCAAAGTAAGCACCGCAAAAGTGCAAAATAAAAATAGAATAAAAATATCGCTTTTGTTTACATTTATTTACCTACCTACAAAATAATAATTAACCAATAACCTTTATAGCTTATGCCTCTATGTATACTAAGTTATTTCACATTTATAATCACGAAGTTACTACAAGGTACTTTTAATTTTCACTTTTCATTGAATAGTTTGCATTGCTAATAAATAAATACTCTTATTAATCATTGGTGCTAATACTAATACTTGACTTATAAGTTATTTTAATAATATTTATAATGCCAAAATATCCCAGTGGTTCAGCAAAAAGGAAAATGAAAATAAAAAAAGATGAAGAAATAAAGAAATTGAAAGGTTCATTAAATATGTTTGCAGTAAAAAACAATTTGGATAATGCTTGTAAGTTGTAAATATATATTATTAAATACTGGGTGGTTGTTAAAATTCCTAAAGTTAAGGTTTTTTATAAAATGAAGGTTGTTTACTAAAAACTTAGTTTTCTATTTACATATTTACCTAGTTATCACATTATATTCTGCACATCTATAAATAATATGATGTGAATATGTGATATTTTTTAAAATATTTTAGTTGACAAGCGTGCTAAAAATGTTATGATGAAAACAAATGAAAATAATGAAGTGGAATCGTCTGAGACTTGTGATGATGCTGAGTCAGGCATATTTGATAAACCAGGCAGGAACCTAAATTAAACTTTTTACAATTATTAATATGTAAAAATGTTAACTACACTAAACGTTTAAACACATATTGTATGAAGATAAGCTTTGTTGTTCAATTTATTATATTATACCAATGTTACACGTAAATAATAATCTTTCATAATATTATACATTTTAATGAACATTTGATTTGTACCTATTTCATAAAGTAATTTTTTTGCTATTAGTTGATAACTGTTCCACCAACTTAATTAGTCGAATAATGAATGAAAATAATGAAATGAAATCGTCTGAGACTTGTGATGATACTGAGTCAGGCATATTTGATAAACCAGGTGAAATATATTTCTCAAAATATAGTTTTCTTAAAACTTAAACTAAACTGAATAAATTAATAATCATGATAATTACATCTATTTCAAGTGATATTAAAATGTAAAAAGATATTCATATAGCTTTTAAACAGTTAAACAATTTTGATATTCATTACCTACCTTATAATATGTATAGTAAATTTTGTTTTATTTATAGGTTTAGATTTAACAAATGATTATCCTACTGACCGTGGACATTTTACAGAGTTTGATACTGTAAAATCTGATTTGAAGAGAAGTATTTTATTGCATGGACCGTGTAAACCAACCTACATAGATTTTCCCTACAGCCCTGATGGAAAAGGTATCCTTAGACGTTTTTCAGCACAGTTTTATCACAAAACTACAAATACAGGACTATGTATAGCCAGAATATGGTTATGCTATTCATTCATTTTAGATTGTGCATACTGTGAAATATGTTGGCTTTTCGCTGATAGGCAAAATAGAAATTTTAAAATAAATTGGATATTAGGAATTAATGATTGGCACCATATTGGAGAAAAAATTGGAACACATGAAATTTCTCAACAGCATATTCAAGCCACTGAAGTCCGAGTACGTTGGTTAAAAAACGAAACTATAGACAAACATATGGAAGATAAAATTATTAAAGAAGCTAGTTTTTGGAGAAGTGTTTTAATTAGATTAGTAAAAATTATTTTATTTTTAACTGCGGGGAATACTGCTCTCCGAGGAAATGAAAACAGTAAAACTAAAATAAATAATACAGAAGGAAACTTTATCAGAACTGTAAGACTAATGGCAGATTTTGATCCTGTTTTAAATAATCTGTTGAATAATGAAAATCATACAATAAAATACCTGAGTTGGAAAATTCAAAATGAAATTATTTATTTATTATCCTCAGAAGTATTAAGTATATTAGCAAACGAAGTAATAAGATCTAAATATTATTCAATAATAGTAGATTCAACACAAGATATAACAAAAATTGATCAATTGAGTGTTATACTGCGTTATGTTGTTTTAAACTACGAAACAAAATCATTAGAAGTAAAAGAATCATTTTTTGGGTTTTTTGAATTTGATAACCATGGCTCAAAGGACTATGAAAATCTTATTTATGACGTGTTGAAAAAAATACAATTTAGACATCCAAAATTGTCGAGGCCAGGGTTATGATGGTGCAGTAGTAATGAGTGGAGCTTATTCAGCAGTGCAACAAAGAATATCTTCTACTGTGTCGAATGCACATTATGTACACTGCTGCGCACACAACATTACAAACTATATTCAATTTTTTTGGTTCTAGTTGTCCTAGATGGGCATCACTTGCATTTGGTGATGACACTGCCAAAACAATTAGACTTAAAGTATTTAAAAAAGTTTGTCCTATTCGCTGGGAGGCCAGGCATTCCTCAGTATCTGCGTTAAAACAAAGGTATATAGGAGTTATAAAATCATTAACATACATGTGTTTATCAAGTAACAAAGTAGATGAAAAACATATGGTAATTTCAATTAAAAAAAATATAGAATCTTTTGAATTTTTACTTATGTTATGTTTGTGGGAACGAGTATTGCATCCTTTGCATGGTATCTCTAAACTTTTGCAGAAGCAAGACATTGACCTCAAAAAAGCATTAGATAGATTAACTGATGCCTATACTTGTATGCAGCAACTTAGGAATGACTATTGTAGTGTAGTTGAAAATGCAAACAACCTGGCAATCAAATGGGGTATTCCAACTGATGACAAAGTGGCTCGCCAAAAAAAAGCAAGATTGTTTTTTGATGAAATAGATGGTGATAGACGGATGAATATCACACAAGATAATTTTAAAATAAAAGTATTTTTACCAATTGTTGACACAATAATATGTCAACTTAATGATCGCTTTAAAGGTTTACATAACGTTTGTAACATTTTCAATTTTTTGAAACCTCAAACACTTATAGGACCAGATGAAATTACTATTAAAGGATCATATGACTTTATATAAATGTATCAATCAGATGTAATTTCTGATTTAACGAGTCAACTGCTATCAATCAAAGAAATTATATAAAAATAAAAATTTGAATAGTATCCAAGCACTGGCTTCATTTATTATTGAAAACGATTTTGCTACGAGTTACTCTGATATATTAGGAGCATGTATAATTTATTTGACATTGCCAGTAACAGTTGCAACAGCAGAAAGGTCTTTTTCAAAACTTAAGATAATAAAAAACTATTTAAGGAATTCAATTGGACAAGAACGACTTTCCTATATTTCAGTTTTAAATATTGAACATCGTCGTACAAAAGAAATTGATATGGACAAAATACTAACAAATTTTTCAAATATGAAAGCAAGTAAAATGAAATTTGATTAAGTATGAATTAATGTATTGCTAAGTTTATTAAAATTATTTAAATATATAAAATAAATTATATAAATACAGATATTATTTCCACAGAAACATAGAATAAAATAGATATACAAAATAATAATCATTTATCATACCTCTTAATTTTATCCGAAAAAAAAATGTATAGCAGCATTTTATATTATTAAGTACCCCCTATAGTTAAAGGGCCCGAAATTAAATTTTGCCCTGGGGCCCTAAATAACTAAGTTGCGGCACTGACGTGTAGATATTATTTTAACCCAGCACACTTTTAAATTTTTAATACGATCGCATACGTCTAAATTCTCTCTATATATATATATATTATGATGGTTTATATGTGTACATTCTCGTAGTGTACCTATATATATTCTCTTTGACTTGTCGTTGGTGTAATAATTTTAAAATACGTGAAAAATGGCCCCAAAAAAAAAAACGTGACATTTCGAACGCCGTTCGCCGATACCCACCGCATTCCTGGTCGGGCGAGTGGTATAATTAATATGATAGTATCATGTAGGCACGTATTTTCTTTTTCGGAAAATTCAAAAATACGATACGATGTGGAAAAAAAACAACTGATATATACTGCGAGTATAATATATAAATAGGTATACATAAAGAGACTTCTGGCGCATTTCGTGTGTATATATATATATATATAGTTTTGACTCGACTCGGGGGAGGAAATTTATGGATTTCCCGGCGCCCACCGATAAATTAAAACTGACGTAGACGGCCCCGGAGAGAAACTATGGGACGAGGGCTGGCGTTTAATTTGTCCGGACGGCGAGAAATCGGCCGTGAAAATAGTTGGCGTGTTATTTCCGTCGATGCGTTCCTCTTATTCGTATAAAATGTTAAACAGACGACTTTTTTGAACATTTTGGTCAATCAAAATCGAAATTCGTAGTCGTTTCTGAAATATTATACTTTGTGTATATTATATAACAATAATAGTATTCTAATGAAAGTTGAACATAAGTAGGTAGGTATATGTACATTTATAATCTAGTACTTCAATAATATTTATCCCGCTCGTTTTCCTTATACTGATATTGCTTTCTAATGATTCCTAATTGTAGGTGTGCCTACACCTATTTGATATCTTCAACAGTAATGCTGTGGCTCAACGAATTTTAGTCTTAAAAAAATTAAATAGCTTTTTTTTCATTTTACCAATCGGTAGGTATTAAATTATTTGTTTATTTATTTGAACTAAATGCGAACATTGGGCACATTTACCACAGCACATTATAACTGTCGTTATATAAAGGTTATAATTATTAATTATTGTTATTATTTATTAATATTATAAAATTTAAATGATTGTTATTGCTTATTAAAAAAATCACTCCGCTCTGTATTTTCGATATTTTTTAATTGCAATATGAACCACTAATGCGAAATCAACCTAGTAATACATTTTCAGGTTATTTTTATTAAAAAAAAATCGGAAATGTCAATGTACCTTTAGTTAAAAAAGTCAAAATATTTTGACAATGTTATTATGCGTAGAGAATGCTGAATGCTAATATAAACATTTGGATCACTGATGAATGATGATAGAAAAAAAAATAGGAATTTCCGTTGAAAAAAGAGTTTGCCCTGAATCGCAAATCCGGAATCCCTTCAACTACATTCCCCGAAGTCCTTGGGTCAGCTGGACAATGGCATCCTTTCGTCAGGAGTATGTACTAACCTATCGTAATAAAGTTATCCAGAAGTAGGTACCGAGTCCTACAAGCAGTAAACGTCGTGTACTTTCGTCCTGCATGGCTGGATTCATATTCCCATCATATGAAGATAGGTACATAGTTCAACCGAAAAGATAGGTATCCAAAAAAACAGGTAGGTGAGGTTTTTACATTTTTTACAAATTGTACGATGTCGTCATAATTTTCTCAGTTCTTGTATACATAACCTCGAAAACCCCCGAACGTCTTATGTATTATTTTATTTCTCAAGACCGAGTTGAGAGAACACTCAACACTCGGCAAAAGAATTGAGTTTCCACATTTTTTTATTTCTGAATTAAAATGTAAAAATGGGGAAATTAGGTAACCACTCTGCTGTAAGTACAGACGTACAGTAGATGTCAAGTGTATCTCGTCATTAAGTAAGTCACAGTAATAATATTATATGTTATTGTAATAATGTGTTGAATTCTAATTTCCCCAATATTAAGAAGAAAAGTACGTAGGTAGGCCTAATATATAGGCACCTACATTGAATTTGTCTCTAACCCCTACAAGGCCACAAGGTCACAACTAAATCCACTTTTCACAGAAAGATATTGAAGTGTAAACATTTTTTCTTCTTCCAAAAAGCGATGATTCATCACTAGTGAGAGATGACAGCCAAAAATAAAAAAACATATCGTTCTGAAATTGCTCATCTTAGAATATAAAGCGAAATAAATGTTGTCGAAAACTAGTTATAATTTGATAGGACGACGTAAAAGAAAATAAAAATAAATAAAACAAACAAAAAAGTTTTTTCACATACATGTTCATATAATATAATATATATTTTTTTTAATATAACAACTAATATATATATATATTTATTTATATTTAAATATAATATAATATGTACAGCGTGAACACACGATTTACATTGTAATAATATTTTACAGGTACAAATAGGTACAATATTTATATCTTATTTAATGTTATAGCCTATGGGCGTGTTAAAAACAAAAACTGCATATCAAATATATACATTAGAATAATAGGTAATTATTCACATAATATAAACGCATTATTTATTCATACTACAACAACGATCGTCAAAAATAGTACCTACACCTTACACAAAATAAAAATCGATCACCAAATTTATTTGACACGATTCGTTTGATTAGCATGTATAATAATTAATAATAAATAATAAATAATAATAAGAATTGTACGGCTGTCAAAGAAAATGGTATGTAATTTTTCAAATATAGGTATCTATATGTATAAATAATAAACAATAATACATCTTGTCCTGACGTCAAACTTTATAGGTATCTATATGTTAACTTATTTGAGCTTTATCGTTTGTACTGATGATATATCACCTTCGGTCCAGACACGCGTATTTAACATAGGTACATATAATGTAGGTCAACTATAATATGCCCAACCACAAACTATATGTATAATATAATGTAGACATAAGCACCCCCCCCCCCCAAACTGTATAAGTACGTTTTTGATTCACATATTATATTATTGTAACCACGTCGTTTACGTCGAGTGCAAACGATAATAATAATTCTCGATTGGGGGTTATGGTAAAATGTGTGTATGGCCTTCAGGGTGGTATTTTTCCGTGGCCGCAGTCGAAAACTACACAGCGTCGGAGGGGGGATGATATTACAAAGAAATAAGATGTCTTACGGTTTTTTTTCTTTTTGGTTAGTTGAGCAGACTATTCAAACAACATATTGAGATCATTTCACTTAAGTAGTTATATATGTGATTGCTGATGCAGTGAACAATACAGTAACCTAAACACAATTATTAAATTATGAAAAGACGCGGATACGATTATTATTGAGTATATACAAACGGTGCATTAGATATGCAAAGGCGCAAAAAAAGTACTAAAAAGCAAATTAAATAACATCGTCACTCATGTTTGTCAGTACGAAATGTAGTCGGGCTCAGCCTGAATATTTATCACGAGGATTATTCATTCAGGGGAAAATGGAGGATTTTGTCCGATGAGTACACTCTCATACTCTATAGCAATGGTTTCCAACCCGGAATTCGCAAAAAAAAATAATTAACAAAACCACGGTATTTCGTATAATGATCTCGCATTTAAAAATATTTTTCATTTAAGTTGTAATTATTACCAAAGAAAACATTAACATCTAAGAATTAAGTATTATTTAAGTACTTATAGGTACAAATACTGTACATAAAATGTAGAAAATCTTTTTATGTTTGATTATTAACTTTTTGAAAGGAATGCGAGTCACGATTCGTAAAAGGTTGAAAACCACTGCTCTACAATATACTGCAAATATAATCCTTCTATTCTACTAGGGACAACGATGGAAAACGTTAAATTATTGTCAAATAGTGTGGTGCCATTTATGATATGCCGCTGAGGCGGACGGCCAGTGTACTCGATAAACGAAAAAAAAAAAGCTTATGTAAACACACAATAATAATAAACTAGTATACACAATGCAAGAAAAAACGAAAATAGTACAACGCTAATCAATATCATTTTTAACAGTTTAACACAAATTTTAATCAAAATAAATTATTTCGATAATTAAAAAATTTAAGGCAATAATAATATATAATAATTATTGTTGTATATTATTTGTACAGAAAATAATGGTTAGAAACAAAAGTTAAAATGTAATTAAAATTGAAACAAAATGTATAATAAAACCATATAAACACATGATCTTTATTTCGGATTTTAATTGTTTGTTCATTTATGAAGCTGAAAACATGTGAACTTTCATAATTGACGGCTTAACAAATGGCACAGGGTGAACACATTTTTTTTAAACAATTGTGAATACCAACCAAAGCATAACAATAATTCTAAAAATTATAAAATAATACCAATTTTTGTTTAAAAATTCAAATTAAACACTCATTCTATTTTCAAAGAGCCAAGTTAAGCAATATTTGTTTCTATTCGTTCACATATTTAAATACCACCGAATTAGAGAATAATACATTTTTTTTAATGTTAAAACTAAACAAAACAAATAAACTAGTACATAAGTCAGAACTATAAGGAAATATATATTAATGGTATATACACAAATATGTATATATTTATATATTATATACATATAAGATTATGTATAGTATATACATAGGCATGCGTAGATTTTCACCAACAAGTTTAATGACGGATATCAAGTTTGGAGTAATATTGTACAGCCCAATTTTTACAAAATATACACAATTCTATATTCAAAGTATAACTAGGAAGTTATCCCTATATAAATAAATTCATGAGCTCGGATTTAATTCATTGGAGAGTACTACCTCCTCAGTGACAGGTTCTGATATAAAATCATTTCCCGTCATATCCAAGTCTACATACATTTTGGATTTTTTCTGTTGATTACAGTCACCATTACGGCCATCCACATCCTCGGTTTTGAATGCAAAGTGGTCAAGGCCGACGTGAGAATTGGAATTTTCTGCACCCGTGCACATGAGGACATTAGACAGTATCATTTTCTCATTGTCGTTTTGATCATTTGAGAAAACCTCTTCACTACTGTGCATCTGATAGTCACCTTCAGTAGAGAATTCAATAGTATTGTTCATCATTGCTTCTAGAACACTCATTTCCTCTTCTGCCACATCTTCAATTTTTAGAGTAGTGCTGGTTTTTAATGAATCATTTTTATTGCTAATACTAGTAGAACCCATTATGTCCATTTGTACACTGTCTTCTCCTACAACAACATACTCGACGTCAGTATCTACAGTACCAACAGACTGAGTACAAACATTGTTCATTTGTTGCAATATATCAGTATCAGAACTGGTGCTATTTAATTTGAATGTTCCTCTTTTTCTGAGGGGTAGTCTGCCTAATAGAGCATCTGAAAACTTTTCATTACCGCAGTCTAAAATTTTAGTTATTAATGGCAAGGATTTGTTTTCAATCGGCACATTTATTTCAGAAACACTTAGTCGTGGTGAATCTTTTTTCCTTTCAGGATTTGAATCCATAGACTCTTTGAATGCTTTTATGTCTTCTGTGGTCAAAACATACTTTTCTATGTTTCCATCATCAGCCACTTTATACAGAACAACATCGTCTGGATTATCTGGTGGCATATGACTTTTAATATTCCTCAATATTGGATCTTCTACATTGGTGTCTATAATTGGTATATTAGACTGTGCTACATCCTGCATGTTACTAACCATATCTTCTGGTTGTTTGAGATTAGCAAGGTTCATATTGTCAGTAAGTTGGAAATGAAGAGCATCTTCTTTAGCTAATATATCATACACATTTTCAGTTAATGTGATGTAGTTACCATCACCATTCTCAATTAATATTGGAATATCTGTTGGAAGACCGGCTCCTTTTAATGCATTTATATATCTTTCAGAGCTCTGAGTTTGTATTTCTTGTGCTTTTGATACTTTAAGTTTATCATCAGATTTATCATTTTTGGTTAGTAAGCTAGCTAATAATGGTGATCGATTGACATCTTCATCTGTCTTCATGTCATTAGGCATTGACTTTTTAACATCATATCTATTTTCATCCACCGAATCTGCAGGCCTTTTCCTACTACGCTTATACTTTAGGTCTAAGTCATCACTGAACTTGGGATTGTTATTATCTAGACCGTTACTCATGGGAAATTCATGATTCACAGTCGCCATACTACTATCATTGGTTCTGTGTTTTGAAGGCGATATGTATGATTGGTTAGATCCTGCAAGTGACAGTAGTATTTGGGCTGATTCTGTCTGTGGTGGAGTAATAGGAGCCGGTTTGCTTACCAATGGTTCACAACATGGGCTCTGAAGATGAGCTTTAGGTCGACCCCTACCAGCACAAGGCCGCCTTTCGTTGGTATTATTATTTTGGCCAAGACGTGCAATAACAGCTAAAAAAATAATTACCGATAAATTACCTAATTTCATCCATATTACCTATTGTAGTTCAGAAATACTTACAAACGGACGAAGGGTAATTCCCGTTTTCTGTAACTTTAGTAGCAATAGTTGAAACTGGAATTGGTGAAGACGAAACTTGACAAATTCGAGTTTGAGCTGCTGTAGTACAAACAAGAGAAGGTGGTTTTATAGACTTAGAATCTTGTAAGCTTTCATGAGCTAGCGAAGATAAACCTTTAACCTGAAAAAGACAAGTAATTTTTTTTTTCAACAACTTTTTTATTATTATAAAAATAAAATTTACAATCCATATACACAAACAACACAATTAATATGATTGCATTTAACTAAACGTGACAACATGAGCATCCATTGATACTGTATCTAAAATTATTAAGAATTTATACCTCACATCTAAGAAGAGGATGTTAGCCCACTATTTGTTTTCTCTCTGACCCCTGTGTAATATAGCATTTTTGAGCTTAGCAGATCCAATATTGTGTTATAAGCTTTAATATTTAAATGAATATACTTATTATCAAACCTAAATCTAAAAACATTATCTGTGCTTATAGGCTTTTTACATTATTTTAATTCTATAGTAAGTTATAAATATGTATAGTATTACAATTTAAAAATATATCACCGAAAATTGAATTTTTGTAAAAAATCCAACGTTCAAACACAGATATAAGTCTATAATATTAAACATTAAGCCATCACAAGATTGGCTCCACTGGAGCCAAATTTGCTATTATACAGTTATGCATGGATGAGACAGAAAAAACCAATGATGTGTAAACACCTTCCTAAGAAATTTTAAATTATACTACAGCCAGACTTCGTTAACTCAAATTTGAAGGAACTGGCCAAAAAGTTTGAATCATCCAAAGATAATGCAATGATAAGAAATTGTAGAGACCGGGAAAAGTTGGCGTTTTCAAATTATTAACAAAAAATTTCAAGTTAACCAATTTTGATTAGGGATTTTAATGAAACCAAAACTATGTAAAAACTATTATTTACTTCTTGTCCTTTAAGCCGCAGTCACACAATGATAGTAAATGGCGATAGTTGCTATCACAAATTCGCAACAGCTAACTGCCACTGTACAAACTACACGATAGTTACCATCACACTATTTACTTATTCACTCTCACACTATCATACACGCATGATAGTTCTTTCACGACAACAACTATAGCGTTTTCTATCATTGTGTGACTGCTGCTTTATAATTGTTTCAATTCAACTATGCAAATTTTACACCCTGAAAGAGGATTAATCATCTAAGTATATACTAATTAAAACCAATTAAGAACTGTTGAAGTCGTAATTCACAACTATAACTAGCTGAATATACAAATGTAGAGAAATATTACTAAAAAACTTCATCACTTAAAAAAGTAATTAAATTTAGCAAAATAATAAAACCCTATTTGGCGGGTTGCATGAACAATCACTTAACATTAAATGAATCAATAGTGAGCTAATGGTCTCTTAAACATGATTTAGTAGCCTATGATTAGTCCATTAAGTTTTATTGAAGCATTAAATTAATCAATTTTTCATACAACCTGACATAAACATAGAAATATCTAATTTATCAGATAAAACATTATATTATTTACTGAGTAAACTAATTCAATAAGTCAATTAAGATGATAAAAAAAATTTAAGTTTTCATTATGCTCAAAACATTTTTTTAAATTTTAATTAACTTAACTTAACTTAATATTTGTAGATTAATTATTTATTGAATTTTCCAACTATAACAATACTATAAAAATAAACATTTACAGTTATAATTAATTGAGCAGTTGGTTACTTACAAACTTAAGGTTGTGCAAAAGTGATATTTTGATGTATACTTATAAATGTTTATTTTAATATATAGTAACATCTTGATCAAATGACCCTTCATAACTTAAAATTCTAAACACTTAGATAAAAATCCCCTTCCAACTTCTATTTTTCAAGTGTTTTGAAATTAATAATTATCAATAATTCAAACTATTCATTTCCTTTTAAATTTTAAGTTCCCAAAATCAACTGTATGAGTGATGAAGTATTTAATATAAATACGACATTAATAATTGCATTTCTTCAAAACTAATTTGTTTAAATTAATATTTTCTTCGAAACTACTTTTTACTTCTGAAACTATTTAATATACTACTTATTTATTTCATATGATTGTAATACTAAGATTTATTTAAATTTGTTTCACTATCAGTTATAGATTTTACAACTAATTTTATAACTTAAATTTCTCAACTAACAAATGCAAATCTGAGTAAATATAAACAAATGCATTGATATTTTATAATGTAAAATATGCAATTCATACATTTTTAGACTATGTGCACATTAAAACATAGCAGATGAGAATAGTTTTTATACATGTAACATTCTCGGTTTTACAACTAGCATAGTATTAAGTTTAGTATAAATTAATCAATAACTATTATAAATTAAATAACTCTTGGAGTAATTTGTATAGTAGTAGTATTTTAAGTGCCGACAATATTAATATTATAAGCTGCAACTGGACTCTATGGTTAACCAATGATTTATGTTTATAAGGATTCTATCTATAATTTAAAACTAATAAATAGTAGATACCACTTATTGGACTCACTTTGGGACCAAAGTATTTAAGTCTCATTAACCTAATGAATTAAAAAGATGAAAGGTCCAATAATAAAAAGATAAACATATGCAGCATTTTAATAAAAAAAAATTGAATTTGCTATCTACTTAAAAATCGAGTTAAAAATATTCATTATTATGTATTCATTTATTTATTTCATAAGTATGGTTGTCATTCATAAAGGTAAAAAACATATAAATTGATAACTAATCAGTTAATCGTGCCTTTTTTGCACCAAAACTAAAAGTATATGACTCATTATATTATTATACACTAAAATACCTATCTAAACACGAAAAATTTTTGTTTCATTTGGGATTTATGAAAATTTATTTTATTTCTATCTGAATAAATAAACTTCATATTAATAGATGTTGCATTGCTTGAACACACAAAACTTTAAATACCAAAAAAAAAATTGTTATTTTGTTTTTAACTGAACTATATTCTAGAAATCCAATCTTTTGATAAGAACTTTCAAGTAGAACTTTATTTCTATTGACACTTATTGATAAGCAGTAAATTAAATCAAAATACATATTGCATTATATAAAAACAATGTTATATTAATATTTAATTAAATATACTTGGCTATTTTATAACTAAATAGTATATGAAGTGTGTACAAAAAATAAGTTTTATTTGACAATAAAAACAGCTAAAATATATATTTCAAAAATATATTTATTGAAATATAAAAGAATAAATATTAGGTATATTATTTTTTGAACATAGTTTTTACCATTATTCAGACTTAATATAACAGGGCAATAGTGTTGGTGTTACTTCATCAAAGAATGATCAGGTATATTTTCAATTTTTATTTTTTCCATTATTAATATCTTAACAAATGGCGATATGACATATGTGACACTCACTATTTTTAAAATGGTTGTGTACTTTCCTAACAAGTTAAAACGACAATTTTTCTTTAAACATACATTTTACTTATTTTTATTGCCAAACGGAACTTGTTTTCTAGACATAACCATTATACCAGACTAATTTTAAAATACTACAAGATCCTCTTATTCGGGATAAATTAGATAGAAGTTTATGTCCATGTTAAACAAAGTTAAACAAAATCTAAATTAAGCAATATGTATTTTACACTAAATTTTTATCCAGTTCTAAGAACTATAAATGTGATTGCAGTAACAGTGGACAAATTAAGGAAACTAATTTATACAACACTTTATCAAACAACAAAAATATAGATAAAAATTAGGGAAGTATATATGAAATATATTGTATAATACAAAATTTGTAAAAAAAAAAATGAATTGATAAAATCACCAAAATTAAACAAATACATTTTTTTGTTATTTTATTTTTAGACAGTTTAAAATGAATACTTATCATTTTATTCCTAGGAAATGAACATTATATGTATATTATACTCACAGCTTCAAACATGCTCCAATCCCACGTCATTCTAATTGAAACCTGGTGTAAGAACTGGTAAGTAATGATTAACGAATCTAAATCCTACCACATAACTTTCATACTTGAAAGGCCTATGTCCTCAAATCACTTTCAACAACATCCAAATTCCCACCTCACTTACCACAAAATACCTTGGTGTTAACTTCAACAAAAGATTAATGTGGAATCACCATATCCACACCACCAAAATTAAGCTTAACTCTCGCCTTCGTTTCCTTAACTACTCCTTAAACTCTAAATCCAAACTCTCAATCGGTACTAAGCTAATGCTTTAAAAAGCCTACTAAAACATATTTGGACTTATGGCGTCCAGATTTGGGGTGCAGCACCAAAAATTCAACATTAAGTACATTACAAGTTGTCCAAAATAAAACTCTGTTTAATTACAAGCGCACCTTTCTTTGTCTCAAACCACACCCTACACAATGACTTAAAACTACTAACAGTATTAGACTTCTAAGTTCTATAAATGCTACCACAAATCACTTCACGAACATCCAAACATTCTTGCAAAAAATCTTTCCAACCCAATGCCTGGAAATCCTCCAAAAAGACTTAAAAGGAAATGGTGCCACGACTTACTCTTTGAATAACCCTCCATAATAAGACTCAAGTCCCTCAATTATATTTTTTCTTCTTCTAACCATCTATTATGTTTATTATACTAAATATTGTACAGATTGTATAAGTCAAATAAAAATATATTATTCAACACCATAAAGTATTTTTTTTTTTTAATTAATAATTGCAAAGAAAGTTTAATATTACTTTCTTTGATTAAGAATTTCTTACTCATTCAATAATTTGCATAAAAATGAAGTACCTTTTCAAAATTTAAAAAATGAATGACAAATTATCACCTTATCAATTGTAAAAACTAGATAGCCCAAAAATAATATGTTTAACATATGAACTGTTCGTTTTTACTACATCTACAAATATGAATAAAAAAATTATAAATGAACCATGTACGTATAAAAGATATTTGTGTGCATAAAATTAATTTTTAATTTTTAATTAAATCAAACTAACATTTTTATTTGAGAAAAATTACATAAAAAATACTATAATATAGAATAGCAATATTTATGTATGCAAATAGTATGTAAAGCAAGGGCGGGAAGTAAGTTTTTTTGGACAAGACTGAAATTGCTTTCACACATGAGCTACACATACCATTTTGTCACACCTTTGCTGCCTTAATTGACGTTACAGTAATGATAAATTGTTCTTGCAGTTCTGGGTATCTAGATTTGCCAAACCAATTAATAAGAACAGCATAGAAATAATCCTGATACATTAGATTAAATGTATTCATACGATTATGTATATCAATCTGATTTAGAAAGTAAAATATAATTTTCTAAAGCTTCAACGGACATCAAAAATTAAACATTCAGTGCATCTAAGCAAGTATGATAAAAAAAAAACTTAATACAGCTATTATTATAATTTATTCAAAAATTATTACCTACATAATGCAATAAAATATTAATTTAATGCATAATAATTAATAACTGATGTTATGTATTATGTGAATAACTTTTAATACATTGTTTGGTACTTAAAATTTATAAAATAGAATAAAACAATAAGTTTTTGATGAGCAATTAATATAATTAAAATGTGATGTGTGTAAAATCAATAGAAGCATTTGTACATATATATTATAAAAAAATATTAAGTAACACTTGCAATTATTTTCCTTTCCTCAAAAACAAACAAACAATATTATAAACATCGTAAAATAGTTATCAGTTAATTGTAGATTTATTTTACCAAAATTCTAATCATAATTCCTACTAATCATTATTTAAACATTTTTCATACAATATTTTATTTGTTAAAAAATATATAGGTACTATTATATCTACTAAGACCTAAAACTTTTTATTGAATACCTACAACAATATTGTACAATTTTTTTAAGAATATTAATTCAACCCAAAGAGTAATGATAAGTTTTTTTCATGATAGATGTTTATTTTAACTGTATTATAAATAACAGAATAAATGTATTAATTATTTATAAACTGATTAATTAATTACCTCAAAAAATTTGGCTGCTTCCACAAGAGCATGTAAATTATCTTCTGTAACATTTGTTTCTCCACAATACATGAACTCAATTAATGATTTGAGTACACTAAATTTCATATCTTTGAGAACAATCATGGGATGATTACCCAATTCACGCTGAAATTAAAAGCAATATTATTGTAGTAAACATAATTATGTATACCTAATGTATTCAATCTAAGAATTAATAACATGAAATGATCATAACTATCATCAAGCTTCAAAATGTTTATAATATTTATAATATAGATTCAAGTATAATGTAAATAATAGTAATATTACCTCAAAGTATGGGCTGCAAGCTGCGAGAACTGATCTATGTACTTTAAGACTGTGTGTATTACACATCAAAGTGACATCAACCAACTGTTGACGTTCCAAAAGATATCCCAGACGTGCGACTAAATGCGTAGAATGATCATCCCATGAAACCATAAAACGTGTTGGATTCCCCATCTAAAGATTTAAAACAACCATTACTACATCACAATAGAGAAAAAAAATGAAATGGGCAATGCAATCATCTTACTGATAAGAGTTGATAGCCTAGTAAATAATAACTGTATCTAAACAAAAAAAAATTAATACTCGACATAAAAAAACTACTAATTATTTTATCTTTGTCATTTGCGTTTGCATCAATAATTATTTAGAAAACACATTACACATGTCACTCCATGGCAAAACATGAAGTGTCATTACACATTGAAAATGGTCTTAATGACATAACCATAAATGCCTGAAATGGTATAACTATTAAAACAATCAAATACCACCTACCTATCCAATGCTGCTAACAAATTGTCTTACAATTATTGCATACTTGCATGCTAAAAGTTACAACAAAACTAATCACTAGGTAATCAAGTTTATAATGTTTATATCAGAAAACTGTATATTATGCAGTAGAACAAGTAACCACTAACTGGGTATTGGGTATCACAATGATAGGCACAATATAAACTTGGAAAATATATCAAAACTATGAACACTTTCTCTACCGAGCAGTAAATAATGCACTAGCAGTAAGCACTACAGCTTTACCACTAAGTGATTGACGGCTGGTGCTCAACAGAATATTGGAATATGGTTGTCGCCAATTAATTCTGCTGCATTTGATTTAAATGACAAATGACAAGACAAAAACGTTAGTACATAATAATATGTATATTATACCTTTGACTGTGTAAACACAAATCGTAATTAATTAACAATTATTATCAGCGTTATGGCGTTGTGCTGATTGACGCTAGAACTTTAACCTTACAACGTTGTACGAAACAAATGGAACCCAACACACCCAACACTATCGTTTTTTCAAGTGTCCAAGACGTTATCGTTACCGATTGCGTATCGTTTCAAATCCAGTACAAATTTGACTGGCAGGCGGTTCGCTGTGCAAACGTAAACGTAAACAAACAACCACATGCCATCACATTCGCTCGTGAAACCTGAAATCATCGCAGGGAAGACGAAATCTTAAGTTCGGGGCACAATGGTAGGAGAACCATCGACTACATTTTCGTTGGCAAACGGCCGGGGCCGATGGATGGGATCGGAAGACTTGTCAGCGATCATCTTGGCGACTCGGCGTGCCGATACTAGGGACATTCGGGTCCAAAAAAAAGGACAGCGTGGGGGGTCCCCCCTCGAAAAAAAAACCAACGCATGGTGTTCGCGACAGCAACCCGTGCGGGGGGGAAAATCGCAGCTGCGGGAAAACATATGACGAACCGCGAGGTCTGATAGACGGCCGCCAAGGCTGTTTTTCACGTGACAACGCCACAACGTCGATCCGGGAAGCCGCCAAAAAACAAAAATCACCGTCAGAACACAGTTCGAACCCGTTCGTCCACCTTTTCCGACACACTTTCAAGAATTTAAAAGCCCCGCAACACCGCCAAAGTGAAAAAGACGAGGCGGAGGCCGGAAAAGGTACCCCCCTACCAGCTAGGTCTTCGGTTCTTCTTACCTTTGCGGCGCAACGACACTACAACAACACTGCAGGCGGCATAGGTCACGGGGCTATATGGGCATCGCGGTCTCCCCGCCCAGCGGCAAAGGCGCCTCGGACTCGGACTCGACGAACTGGGACAACTACGACGGACGGCCGCAATGACGAGACTGACGGCGACACCGCCGGGACTGCGACTCGGCACAAGGCGACGACGACGACGACGACGACGGTCGCACGGACATCATAACAACCGACCCGACCGGACGACGATTACTCCGGCGGCGATCTCGTCGTCGTCGTCGTCCTCGTCGCAGTCACAGATTCTGCTCCCGCTGTCGTCCGGACCGCCTAGACTTCTTTGGTCGTCACAAGATCGAATCACCGCCGCCACGATAACGACGAGCTTTGTCGTTTCCGCTGTCGTCGTCGTCGATCGCTCGCTATCCCGCGGGACGGCCGCCGAACGGATTATGCACCCACGACGGCGGACGCAGAGTTGTCGGTCGTCGTCGTCTCGTTCACACCTGTAATAGGCGGTAAACCGTGCGTATATCGACCGACGGAAAACTAATTTTATTTGTTTGACTGTTGAAGTGTGTGTGTGTGTGTGTGTGTGTGTGTGTGTGTGTGTGTGCGTAAAAAGTCAAAATAATATTATTGTGCCACTGAGTACGCTGACAGTGTGTAATAATAACAATAATAATAGTAATATTTTTATTTGTTGAAGTGTGTGTGTGTGTGTGTGTGTGTGTGTGTGTGTGTGTGTGTGTGTGTGCGTAAAAAGTCAAAATAATATTATTGTGCCACTGAGTACGCTGACAGTGTGTAATAATAACAATAATAATAGTAATAATAATAATAATGTAAATGTTTGGGAATAAATCGTGATTGTGCGCGTGTACCTCATCGGTTGAGTGGGACGCGGCGGTCGCGGGACCGGAGGTACGCCAACCCGGGCAGTCGGCGTGACGTCACGACCGCTGCTCGATCGGACGGTAAGGGGCCCCCAGCACAACCCGATCGTTACTATTCCTATTTCCTTTGTCCAAACGCGTACGATCCGTTACCGCTCACCTACGTCCCGGCGACCGTGCGACATGGCTGGCTCGACTCCGGCCGCGGCTGAGGACGTTGTGCGCGCGCGCGTCGGGCGCAGTGTCGCCGACCGCACCGCGGCCCGGTGATCCGTCGGCCCCATAATTACCGTGCTCGGCCCCGGTGACCGGAGTACCGTTTTCCACGATACGTATATATAAATACACGGACGATTTGTGTACAAATAATATATTGTTGATAATAATATTATTATTATGCGCCCGGCCGCGCGTGTGTACAATAACAATATTATCGTATACAGAAATGTATATAGGTTAACGTCGAGGTCGCCACCGCCGCCAATGCTCATTAATCCGGTTCGATTTCCGACCGCTGTATACATATATATATATATATATATGTATATAAATACCTTATCTTCGTATACATATCAATAATGTAACATGTACTCGGCTCTTCCGACGGTTAATTGTTTCATTCTCTCGGTTTTGTTTGTATTATGCCTATTATTATTATTAGGCGACAGTGGCGTAATCGTGTTAGTGGTGACTGTAGAGTGGGGTTCGTGGCGATGAATGCCCCCCCCCCCTCTCGTTGACCTATTGTTTTTCATCTGTACATCCGTGGTACTTGCTTACTTGGGCTAGTACATATATATAGTATTATACATGGATTTTTGATCGGAGTTTTCCCCTCCGGTTAGGCTACAGTGCTACACAGACGGCCGAATATGCCAAGAGAAGTATAATATAATAAGTTATTGGGTGTACTTAAATTTTGGACATTGCTCAACAATAGGTAGGCGGTTGTTATTAGTTGGTTTTTTGCTCTACATAAATTAATATAAAAACTATAAATGTTTGCAGAAAAGTAGTAAATGACATAATATTATATACTTTTGAACAACATTTTCGTGTTTGACGTTTTCAACTGTTCGTCAACACAAAACGTTGACCAACGCCATGACCTAAACCGGGTAGCCCTGATCACACCGCTGTACAAAATAATAGTATTGTCCACAGAGCATAATATCGTAGGTGTACACGCGTTGGATTTCCGTCGTACGAAAAAATCCGTTTTTTGTACCCAGCGGCCATTTTTGCTGCATATACAGTGTTAGGTACACATCACGCACGTGCATAATGTATTTTCGCGTGGTGTCAAATTATATTTCCTGTACCTATATAATATACCTAACTACTGTATTTGTTTTCGCTTCACATTATGATATGGAACGCTGAGAGCCGTACATACGACGCGTGTGCTCGAGCACAACAGTATAATTCGTATTCGTTATACCGCGTACAAGTTGCATAACTTTAAATATATATATATATGTACACCTGGCTGACAGATGTGTGTTTGCAATAATATCGGGTTAAAATTCACTTGCGCATTCGACGGCGGCAAATCGAAATGAGTCGAAAGAAATATTATCGTTGCAATAGTCGAGTTGACGAATAAATCTCAGGGGAGGGGGGACTGTTGTCGGCCGTGTGTAGGTTACAGATATTACGGTCCGTTTTATTAAATTAAAAAAATATATATATTTCACACCTAGTATTGACGAGTAATGTGTGGACGATTTATTATTATTTTCTTGCAATAACTGGATTTTTTTACCCTATTTTTAGTGCCAATGGTTTTTAACATTGCCCTGATGACCCCTGCAGACCCGTCTCTTCCGGGGAATAGATCCATTGTATTTTACTTAAAGGTATTCATTGAAAATTAAAAAGTTTAAAATATATTTGGTTGTTATTACTTTTATATATAGGTACGTGCTTCGTTTGAATAGTTATACTATTATTGACTTTCGTTTGAGTATACCTCAGTACCTCACAGCTATCACGAATCGCGGAAAAAATGTCCTGATAAAATAGGTGCCACACTTAGAAAAAGTCAATTAGTTAAAAAAGTCTAAGATAAAATAAAAATAAAAATAAAAACAATAAATATAATAGGACCTATGAATAATTATTATGATTTATAATAATACAATTAACAATATAATATTTCAATCACGCCTCATTTCTTATGTTATAAACTTTTTTCGTGGACTTTTTTTCCGATTACCGTTATAATTTTAATATATTTATACAATATACATCTTATATAGTCACATTATTTTTTTTAATAATACATGTACACTTTAAAAGTGTAATAAATCTAACTAATATTAACTCAAAGACATTATAGCTAACTAGTAAAAATAATACGATGGTTTTCATGTTTTATCAGCTAGCTGTAGGTATTCTCTAAAAATGTATACTCAGTAGGTAATAAAATATTAAATCATTGGTAAATAATAAATATTGTGATTGAATAGATTTGTTATACTTGGAACTTAGGAGCAATGCTGGGTATGTAATATATTTTAAGTGGGCGGACCATGCCCCCGGCATCGAAAAAGTTTCTAGATACGGCTTTGGTCGAGACTATTGAAATTTTATAGGTAAGCAATTATCACAACTTTACCTAAGGTATAGGAAAATTAGGTTTAATTTTAATTTTGAAATAGAACCTTTTTAATGCGAAAACCTTTTTTTTTTTTTTTTAACATATATTTACAATCTATTTTACAATAATCAGTAAGTATGATGACAAAGTTTATATGACATTATGAAATATTCGAATAGGAAGACCCTCAGTATAGTGTCACCTGACCAGAGATAGAAATAGAACCTTATGAAATATTTTTTCATTTTTATTTTATTTGCTTAATTATGTTCTACGAAAATCTGTAAACCCTTATTTTGTAGCATTAGATACTAGCATAGTGATTACTGGCAGACTTCCATAATGTCTTAACCAATTTATATTAAATATTTTAAATATATATATTTCAATGTTTTGAGTTAATTTTGATTTATATAATTTACTATAAGTATACCATTGTCCATTTTATTCAATGATTATAATATTTAGTAAGTATAATAAATTCTTGCTAAATATTAATAAAACTGTTGTCTGTTTGGACTTACTTAGAGCAAACGTAAACTCAGCAAAACAATATAATATAAATTATAGGAGATAATAAAAAATGCTATTGTAAACTCAGTCTACGTAATTTTTTTAACACACACAACTATACGTGTGATAACTGATAAACTCCACATAATTTAATCTGCAGACAACAACAAAATGTACCTAAATAGCTAATCGTGCATTAATGGGTACTAAGTCGGAAAATTGCAGGGAAATATAAGCTTAAAAAATAGTAGGTAACTAAAAAAATAGATATATACATACACTTATAAACCTAGAATAAAACTCGGTGTATTATTTGAAAATAAATCAAAAACTATTATTTTGAAAAACAAATTGCGTATACTAATTAGGTATACGACTAAAAATTTTGTATCTTCGTTGTGGAGTCCTCACCCTTCATCTCGATTAGGTACCTGCGTGATGAATAGGATTTTTAAAAACAAAAACAATATTGACCTAGGTGCCCAGTTGGCAGCAGTTTATGTGCTCCAAATTTTTACTACTTATATAAACCATCTCCGCCAGTATGTTGTGCAGTGAGTAGACGTTCGCTTTGAGCTTTTCAGCTTTTAAGTTTAAAGCTGCCCACCGAGTTAGTACCAACGTTTTAACTTTCATATAGTCAACGTCAGAATTGTAAACAAAATAATGATGACGAGCGCACCAGCATTTTACGTCTCAAAATTATTTCAATATTTCCGATCGAGTTTTTTAATTGTTCGAATAACGATGGTGACATTTCAGTACTTGCAGCGAATTCGGTTCGAACAACATTGTTGTTGTCAAACATTCACGCCAAATGTTTGTTCGACTTACCACGAACGGTAAACAATACGAGATGTGTGTGCCCACACGGTTACACAGTAACACACGCACATCGATAAAATATGTCGAGTATTCTCATAGCATTCCCATAATATTATAATATATACATAATATGGGCATTAGGCGCATACTGCATGCCTTGATGCCTGCACACGAGTATTATGTAGGCATAGGTACAATCGTACTACGCCTATGCAGAGTGGACGGGACCTGTTACATTGTAATCCGTTAAAAAAAAAAAAATGTTTTAATTATAATATATTTTTTTCCCCATTTAACAGTTTTCATTATACGAAAAACCGGTTTCGAACGCATGCGGGCACGACGGCACGTGTCTTCTCCTCCGTACTCGCGGGGTTTTAATAAATTAACATTTTTATTTTTTAATAGCTTGGGTAGGTATCTAGCGACTAGCATAATATGTTCGCTAACCCATCGCGACATTATAATAATAATATCACAGAATAACATAATTATTATGTGATTCTGTTGTTCTGCGATGATATTAAAACAGTGATAATAATATAATATAATAACCACGGACTGAGATGTACAGAAATTATATACACTATTATTATATATGATATTATAGATCTTGGACCGTAATAATAATACACTCACAATATTGTTATTGTGATATGGAAATCATTGGTCACGGATCCAAACGGTCTTGTTATTATTTTTCGAAACGGCGTGAGGTAAAATAATATATCAAATCTGTAACGGACACGTTTACGATTAAAGTCCGACGCAATAGAAGAACAACTTTCAGATTTCATAATCGAACGCGGTGCAGGTAGATGAACTGCCGAGTCGGCGGCACACGAGATATGTAACCGTCGGAGGTCATTTCGCGATGGAAATTTTTCCAACTTTCTTCTCTCATATGTTGCGTACGCGGTAAACTTTACACTCTCGCACATGGCACTATTTATGAACACGCGAGCGACCATATTAATGTAATGTTAATTATTACGATAATGTTTATACCTAATAGGACGTCTCGTGATTCTTTTTGTATTCCACACAAACGACTGTTTGTTATTATAGTCGTAACCGCGAAGAAGCGACTGTCGAATTTGTCGTACGGTTAGACGCATCGCCTATAGTACTTACTTGTGGACTGTGGTATATATACCTATTTATATTATATAGGAACTTATTATGAGAGTAAAGAACATAACAGGCGGAAATCGGGGGCTCAGGGGCCTAAGCCCATCCCACAAAGTCCCCCAAGCCCCTTCCAAAAGCCCAACAGCTATCGTGAAGGGGCTCCGCGGCGATTTAGGCTCTTTTGAAAAATAGTAGACCCCCCCCCCAATAACTTAAATGGATTTCCGCTTACGTATGATATACGTAACATTTATTCCTGCAAGTACAAATGCACAATATTTATTATATATGTCCAATAGAGTCCTGCGCTGTATCCACGGTGATAGACTATGTGCGCTCTTTTCCTTCCAACTATGTAGTTATTCAAAATAAGATTTTTGGAATTTTTAAATATACTCAAGACCATATTTTCAAATTATTTAGAATTTTTATACTACCTACTTGAGTAGTGTCCTTGAGGACTGAGTCAGATCGGCGTTCAGGGGGGGTTGCAGCACAGTGGCTATGCCTTCTTTAGACATCGTTAGATAGTAGATACCTACTACTACTAATAATAATTTCTTTTAGAAATCTGAATAGAAATTCAGTTTTTATGAATTATAATCACGACCTCTGTAGATAGAGTTGTGCTATATCACATTGAGTGATGTTCTGCAGTGGACAGTGGGTCGAATCAAATCCATTAGGTGCGACTGTGCGAGGATTGAGCGACTGAGGACCCTGTGGAGATACAAACGTGTGTTTTCCAAACGAGAACCTCTCTTTTCTACTGCATATTATTTCCAAAATAATTGTTGTAAATACGTCGACGTACAGAATCAAAATTCGTTTTTGAGATATTTAACATTGTGTACTAAGAATAATGGGTTTGTAAAATACGGGGGCTTTGGTGGTTTGAAAATTTTAGCGATTTATATTAATCTATCAACAATTCAAAATGATCCTTAGTGAAAATACATATTAATAACTGAGAAACTACTCGATCGAATTTTGAATAAAGTAGGGTACATCAACATTTTTAAAAAAATTATGCTCAAATAATTTACAATTAAAGAAGAAAGTCCTAATTTGAAAAACGGAAGTTTATAGCGCCACCGAACACTTCTTAAGAAAAGTACAAAAAAATTCAAGAATTTGAACAAATGGTCTACGAGTATATATTTAAAAGGTTTAAAAATCATCATTTGAATAAATTCATTATTCAAGGACAAAGGGTGGGGAGGGGGGGGGGGTCGATCGTGATTGGTGAATCACCCTGTATATAAGTATTATATGTGTAGCACTGTAACAGTTCGGTCGGTAGGTTTTGTATAAATGATTTTTTTAAGTTATTCTAACATTTCCAGTTTTGGTGTCGAGATAAAATATATGGTCGGTACGTATCTCTTCTACACATATAATATTATACACTGCACCTATTATTATATGCATACATGTAGGTAGGTATATTATATTTCTTAAACCTTTTTCTAAAACTCATGGGCCTTGGCTTCCCTCCAGAGTTAAACGCGGTTACTGCTTACGCCTACCCGGCCTACCTACTGCCAACCGCATAATATATTATTTTCAGTTGCGTTCAACGTCGTACAAGACAAAACAATTTAAAAAAAAATAGAATCAGTAGGTATACATATCGGTTTTGTAGATAAGAATTAGTGAAACATTATTTTTTGTCACGTTCATTAGTCTGCGCGGGGAGGTGTCAGGTGCGCTTGGGCACCATCTGATGTCTTGTGATTAGGGCCCTAAAGTCGAGTCTACGAGTCTCATGGGGGGGAGGGGGAAGAGACACTTGTTAATAAATAAAAAGTACTTTTTCTAAAAAAACGTGTCAAATTGTTATTATTCTGATTATTATGCATCATGTAAAAAATGTAACTATTATTAATGCCTAAACATTTTAAACAATTTGAGAAGGTACATATTTTTTAGGCACCACCTGCAATTCTATGGTCACATTGGAATATTGTATCTGGTTTTTAAATATATGTATAACAATAAACATTAAAAATGTATTATTTTACTTTTAAATGGTATAACATAATTAAAATTTATAACAATAGTAAAAGTGTTAGTCTAAACATCTTTAAAAGTAAGAGGAAGTGGGTTAAAGTTTTAGGGTTTAGAGTAGCCACTAGACTACAGTAGTCTAGTTACAAGAGTCATGTGTTTTTGGGCCCAATGAATCTAATCTAGGCTTGGTTAAAAATATAGGAATACCCAAATGCTCACCACAAATTGGCATTAATATAATTCATAAAATGTATGTATTCATGTTACATATTTTTATATTATTAAATTGTTATAAACCTATGATGAATTTAAATCTATTTAAATAGCATAAGTTGCAAAGTCAATTCAATGTGTTTTTACTCATTTTAATAGACATGATTTCAACTAATCTGGGTATAAAAATCACACAAAGACCTTAAGGAAAATTAAATTAAACAAATTATAGTTGGTAATTCCTTTATTTATTGTTGATACAAATACAATTATATCAATCAAGCATTTTACAAACATCATGGAATACCTAGTTATTTATAATATACACTTCATATTATTTTGTTTATGTATTAATATTAATAATATCTAATTAGTAATAAATAATAAATAGTTTGCTCTTATTCAGTAGTGTTGTTAATATTATATCATACATGTGTTTCATTTTGTTATTATAAATATTTTATTAAAAAAAAAAATGGACTAGATAGTTTTAAAATTCCAAAATAAAATAAAATTAGTTTACAAAGCCATGTTTAAGTCAATTTGCTTCAATATGAACACAACCCGTGGGATAAATAATTTAACCATAAAATAAAAATTACAGAATTTGTTCAAAGCAAACAAAATAAAAACTCTTTTTCTTAATTATTGCACATTAAACTGTTTATATATATATATATATCAATTAAAAAAAAATTGTATCAATTAATACTGAAAATAATTTCAAAGCGTACAGAGATTTAAATTTTTTAGTAATGACGTTATAGTCTTAATTTTGGTTTTGATTTTATGTACATTTTTTTATCTATGATCATTTATAAATTAAAAAATCATTTGTAATCTGTATACAATAATTGTATAATAGCTTAATGCTTTTCATACGCACAAAAAAAAAAACTAACAATAATAGTGTCTAATAACAACGTATAACAATGTTCACATATTTGTTTAACACATTACTTTCATAACATAAGAAAAGGTTTATATTTGGTACATCATAATATTGATAATAATAAGTAGTGATGATTTTGTTATCGACGAGGAAGTGAATTGAATTACAAAATGATATATTACAATGGATATAACCACATATTTTATAACAATAAAGATCAATAATTCCTTATGAACTATAAAAAAAACTTACATTAATTTGAAACAAATTTACAATTAAACAAATAATTTTTTTTTAATTAGTATTTATCGTGGATATTCATTTTCCTTAAAAAATTATGTAGTTAATACATTATACAATTACGTTGTATGTAGAAGTAATATGCAAGGATATTGAATAATGGTAGTTTAAATAAGTCAAAGTTATATTATGGGTTTGTAGATCAACAAATAATTTGGCACATTATAGAACATATACAATTAAGATCTAAACAAGGAATGAAAATATAATCTTCATCATTCATGAGTTATATGATGAAAGTGTTTATGTATTATATATATATACATATATTTTACATAGGTATCACTAACTACTTTACTTTAAGTCTGTTTACTTTATTAGGTATTAAAATATAAACTAAATTTGTCAGTTAGTAAAAATTAACATGTTCTGCTTAATTTATGATGTTTAAGTATTTAAAGGCGAGTAACTCGTTAAAGACTAATTTAATAAATTACATAAGATCAACATTAGACGGAGAAAAAACAGTACTAAATATTTATAAAATAAATGGAATATAAAATGTGAATAATTTTTTGTCAAAATGTACTCCTTCAAATTCATAAACAGTATTATACTAGTTGTCTAACCAATAAATAATAATGTATAATTATTATTTTTATTATGCAAACATTATTTTAATTACACACAATGGAGATATCAAAATAAAATAAATTAAAATAATGTTTACATATGGGTAAATATATATATATGTATATATATTTATTGTTCGGAATTAATTTGCATACTTTTGATTAGGAATCGATAACATTATCAAGTGTTGAGAATAACCACAAAATAATAAGATTAGAATAATAATAATTTAAAAAAAAAAACGATAAATAAAATAAACAAAAAAAATTAACTACACAGCCAGGTGACAATGTCTTGGAAGTCCAGTGGCATATTTTGCAGCTTCAAGCATCGATACTCCTTTACCATGCATAAACACAAAACATTCTCATGATGAAATAGAAATAATAATAGTAATAATAATACAATTCTTGCGAAAAATGTTAATATGTTGCATGAAAGTCAAAACAGAAATTTGAGTGCAAATTTCTTGTGATTATCAATCAGCACAGTGTAGTGTGGTATAGTGTGATTAAGTGTTATATTTTATATCAACTAAAGCAGTTATACATAAGTTTTATTTTTTTGTGATTAAATTTTGTGATAAATAATCTAAAAAATGTTATTCATAAATACCTACAATGTTTAAAAAGTATATTATATTGGAAAATTTATAAGTTTATTAGCAAAATTGCAAACAAATTATAAATGTGACACATGCTATAAACTTATATCATAACATTTTTTGAATAAAATTGAAAGGTATTCAATCAACATTTTCTAAGAAAATCAATTAAATTTTTAATAACGGATTTGTTAAAGGCATTATAAGTTATTGCTATTTCTAAGTACACAGGATTTTTAAAAAGTACTAGTTAACACTCTTGAAGATAATTAAATTTTAAAAATTTCAATTTATTATTGGAAGAAAAGTATTTAAAGATACATTTTACTTTATTAATTGGCCCCATTTAAATGCATTGTAAAATACTAAAATGTATTGGAAAATATTTATTTGGTACTTATATAAATATTTATAATGTATTTATAAATCCATTAAATATTATTTTCAAATATCAATTAATTAAATGTAGAGTGTAAAATAGACTGGCTACTGTTGTTATTGATTTAAAATATTTTCAAAGAAGGATAACGAAGCTTTAATATCATATAAATCAGATAAAATTTGATTTTATAAAAAGGCTGATAAATAATGCAAATAATTGTTTTTTTATTCATCAATTAAAAAATTAATAAATAATTTATTTGTTTGAAATTTATCAAATTAGTATTTTCTATAATGTCATTGCGTTTCTAAAACTGAAGCATTTGATTAGAAAAGAAATGAAGCAAAAGCTAATTAGTTTGAACTCAACATTTTTTCAATCACAGTTCATTGCAAAGGTCATATTTGTTAATAATATAAGTGTTATGCAATATCAGAAATTATGTACCAAACTTGCATATACAGAGCCTAATGTAAATTGATCCCTGCAATTTTCTAAAATAAAATATTGTATCCCTGCACCTGGCAACTCTATCCAAAACCAAAAGTTATTAAAATAAATAATCACAGAATTGAGAAAATTCGTAAGATTTTTAAAATTGTATACATTAATAATGTGTTGCCATTGTAGAATAAATAGCTGCATTATAACTATACCTGTTTGAAATTGGCAATGAACTGTTTTGTTCATCAACAGATACCACCTCTGCTTCATCATCAGTCTCCATTAACGCAGTACTTGAATCATACTCTGGATGTTGAATCATTTTAGATCTTAACAAGTAGACATACGTTTTATAACGCTTATACTAAAACAAATAAAAATAAAAATATAATTAATAAAAACATAATATATCCATTTGAGATAGAGATTTGGAGTAGCATTTCATGAATACAAAAAAATTGTTTTGTTTTCGATTAATTAGATGAATATGATGCTTAAGTGTAAATAATTTATTTTTTTATTATCTAAGATTAGTTTTTGAGATCAAATTAAATTTATTTAATCACAACTTTTTAAACAATAGTTTCTTAACAGAAAATAACAAGATTTATGTAAATGTGAGGTAAGTAATCATTAGTTTGTGTGACTGTATATAAAAGAAATAGTAGAGCACTCGCACAAGCATGTACAAGTCATCGCCTTGGAGTTTTAAGAGTGAACGGTAAAGAACTTATGCTCATTAATACGAGGTATATTCGAAAAGTAAAGGCCGTTCGCTTATATTTCAAAATCCACAAGTCGTAACACGTTTAAACGTGTGCATATCTGTACGTGCACTACCTATTTCAGACGTTGTTTTGATTTGTTAATAATTTTCCTAGTTGTGTATACAGTAGACAATGTCCGCGATAATCGTTGCTCTCGCCAGCTGTGAAGTTTGCCCTGTAATAAGATATTTGTGTGCAAAAGGATCTTCAGCTGCTGAAATTCATCAAGAGTTAAGCCTAGTTTATGGACCTACTGTAATGAGTGAAGGAAAGGTTAGACAATGGTGTCGTGATTTCAAAAATGGACGAACAAATGTTTATGACTAAGAGCAGAGTGGTAGGCCTCAGACTGATGAAATTGTTTCGATGCTGGACCAAAAACTGCGATCTGATTGTCGGTGACAATTAGTGCCCTGGCTGATGAATTTCTTAACCTTGAACGCACTACTATCTACACAATTATCACGGTAAAACTTGAATACCACAAATTGACCAGAGAAAACGGCCCTTACTTTTCAAATATACCTTGTATGTATTTTTTATCTATCCTACCTAGCGAATAATGTGATTATATGGAAGAAAACTGAGCTGCATTTGTTAATATGTCCAATTGAGATGGGTCAGTTAGTCTACATTATAAGAATTCTGATTTAAATTCTGAAATTTCAAAATATTTTAACTACATTTTTAGATGTTGGGAGGGGAGGAGGTATGAAATTGGAAAAAGTGGACCGACCGATTTCAAGTAGACATAATACCGAATTCAAATAACTTTTAAAAATTATTATCACATTACTAGTATGACAAAATAGTATGTTTGTGCTAAAATTACTGGTCCCCACTCCCCACTGATACCTTGAAGGCCTTTTATCAATTATCCATCAGCTATTTTTAATATGTACCTCGTACCTACAATCATGCATTAAATTACATAAACAAAAGTAAATATTTGGATATAAATATACAATATTTTTAATGAGACCATTTTTTCAAAACACTCATAATATGGACTTAGTTTGATTTGGTCACTCAGTGATAAGTGAAGACAATTTGTCATAATGGTCAAGCATACCTATATATTTTCTTATTGTCAAAACACTTGTATTTGCTTATAATGAACAGGCAACTTAGGCTAACTAAGAAAAGATGGATAAAATTATTTATATTGTACGATGCCAATAGTTTCAGTTTCCTTGGGCAGATATTTTTGCCTTGTACACTCTACTATTTGTATAAATATTGAATAATAAAACGTACTTCTTCCAGTAAATGTGACTCTTTTTCTTTATAAAATTGCAATGTGATGTTTTTAGTTCCACGTTCTGGAGGTTTCTTTTTGTGGATGTCAAGCTCTACTTCTAGCTGCCTCAAAGTATCTTCATGTTCGCGAAGTTGTTCTCGCTGTAAAAAATAAATAGGTATGTCATTATATTTCAGTAAAAATGGAATAATGTAAATAATCAAACCAAATTTAATTTTGTCGGAGCTGATGGTAATAATGGCCTTTGGAATTTTTTCTGATTTCCAACAGCACTTGGCAATCGTGGTGCAGAAAAACTAGCACATACAAAATTAATTGTATTTATCCATGAATCTAATTCCTTGGAATCACTAATAATATTAATAAAAAATAGTAAATAAATACAAATTAAAAGCTTAAAATATGAGTTGTGTAAAAATGATTACCTAGTTTGAAATAAATATTCTGCTTGATCTGCAGTAACTAGTCTAAACACATGTTGTTTTTTTGTATAGTCTGTAGCTTTAGTAGCTAAGCCATGATGTATATGTATTGCATTATGAATGCTATCACTAATTTGAGATTTCCGAAATCCAGAATCATCCTTATGTAAATAAAGAATTAGATCACGTAAAGTGCAATAGTACATTTTCCAACTACGTTTTCCTCTTGCAGCTATAAAATTTTAAGTGCCCAATATTATTGTTAATAAGTATAAAATTATTTTTTCCTTACTTTTCTTTCCATTGGATTCCATGCAACATTTTCTCATCACATATCCTTTTTTATACTCTAAAGCTTGAGTCATGACATTCTCTTCATAACTTCCTCCACTTTTGCCTATTTGGCCAGGGATTTTATTTCCAAGACCATCAATTGGTTGACTAGCAATTGCATTTTTTAGTTGATTTTCATCCAAGTCATCATCACTAAAACATGTTGTTATACATTTATAATAATTCAATTTGAATTTCCTATATTTAAAACTGTATCTTACCTTGCCCACTCAAGAGGATTAGACTTAATTGCCATGTACAATGATTTAAGAACATCTCGTGGAAAATGTTCATTATCATTTAAACCAGCTAGGTTTTCAATAAATTCATTACATGTCATTTTACGTCCAATCATTTGGCCATGTAAGTCTGTATTTAATAGCATAATGGCGCAAGTTAATGTATGTACAGCATCTAAAAACAAAATATTCATAAATTATTTACTTTATTAATAATTTAAAAATATTTAAAAAAAAATAAATCACAAACGTTAACTACAAACTTTTAAAAATGCCTTACAAAATATAAAAGGTTACAACATTGCATAAATGAAATTTTTGACATGCTTATGTAGCGAGGGTGGCGACTCTTTTTGGGTCAAGTGCAAAATTTTAAAATATGATTTTGTGCCCCTTCCCACGGCCTAAAAGGTCTTTTTACTAAGCATAAAAAAAATCAAGCGATAATTAAACTACAGATTTTATTACATGTTTTTCTGTTAACTCTTATTTTATGAAATATATTCTTAAATAAATTATCATAAGGTATTAATAAATATTATTTTACTAATAATTATTTCTTTTGTTATTTTCGAAGATAAAATCCTTATTGTTATTAACTTAAAAAATTCTTTCATTAAAATATATCAAGAAAAATATTTTAGTTTATTTTCATATGCCGTCAAAATTTGGCAAACGTGCCACTTCTGGCCCTCGTGACACAGGTTTGCCACCCTTGCTATATAATAATAATGAAACAGACTGTTTGTCTGTTTACGCAAAGGTTGTCTAAATCTACCAACATGCAATTCACTTTATTTTAATTAAGGATTAGAGAGCAGATGTAAAAATTATAATTAAAACTAAAGTTTATGCAAGAAAAATAAATTGAATATAACTCACAATCCACTAAAATAAAGAGAAAGATTTAAAAAGATATTGTTTTTGAAGAATTAAAACTAAATATTTAAATAATAGGTAGTATCTATTATACACTTGGTAATATTACCTTGAGAGTTAAAACATAGGGGATTGCAATCCAAGAACCGTTTTGAAAAATGAACTAACACCCTTTCTCTTTCTTGAGTTTCTCCGGTCAAACTGAATTGTTTCAAAAAATGTCTTAACGCCAAATCTAATGAATTTCCTTTAAAATCAAAATATTTCAAATATTCTTCAGCCACCGCTCTACTGAACTCGTTACTGAAATCATTTATTTTAATTACTTTATTTTTTATTAAAATAAAAATTATATGTTTCTTTCAATACTTTTTGCTTAAATGTCGTGATACATCACTTTTTTTGAACCCTTCCAAATAAAATAAGCGTTTTGCTAGTCTTACTGCCGAGGGCATATCTACAGCTTTAGGCGAATAATGAAAACTATGCAAACTATCAGAATCAAAATCTTCGTTTTGTGTCCACTGCTCGTCATTATTGGTAACAGAATTAGCCAACTGTGCGGCACCTTCCATTAACGCCAACAAATGTTGAACTTCTTCTTCGTCCTAAATTAAAATTTCAATTCTAAAAAAAGTAGGTAATTACAAATATAAAATGTTACATACTTTAAAATCTTGATTTTCATTGTTACTTATGTTTTCCTTGTCATTGTAATATCTGTTGTTATTTTCAGTGTCTCTAACTAAATTTGTCTTTTCTGGACCTTTCACTTGTATGACAATTCGGTGGTCTGTATGATTATTATCATAATATGTGTACTGTCCTTCTGTAGATCGCTTTCTAATCTTTGGTTCGCTAGCTAGAATAGTTGAGTCACTGTCACTTGGATCTGTCACTTCTAATTCTCGTGAGTTGATCAAGAAATCTGAATCTGCAGTGTCTTGGAAGTCAGGACTTGATATATTTGAATGACTGCTAGTTGGATGGCTGTTGCCACGATATGATCCTTTGGCTGGTCGTCGCCGATCAGACGGTGATGACATTATTGATGAGGATATGGATGTCGGTGACGTAGGTGATATAACTTTTTGAAGGGAATTGCAAGAAGCTGATGTCTCATCAGGAACATGACCAGCATTATATGTCCATAACACTCTCTTGTCTTCCATTTCAAGTGGTTTTACATTAGTATTTAATAAGGTGTTGCAAGATGATGTAATATCTTCGTCTTCAGTGTCAATACTGGTAGTAGAAGACATTGGATATTCAGAGTTTGAACGCAAAGGATCTTCAGAACGAGAGCCACGTTTATAGTTGGACATATTTGTAGGAGGAGGAGAAACTGGTGATGTATTTCCCGAATTAGGTTTTGTTATGTTTGGTCGATCATTCTCAACAGGACTACTAGGAACAGAATTTGAATTTACTTTATGGAATTTTTTGGGGCCACCATTCTTTACCAAACAATCGACTTTTCGATCCCTCTTTGGTAATAAAGAGACCTAAAATTAATAATAATAATACATATATGATAGTGAAAATAAATTAAAACCAAAAAATATCTTACCTGACTATTTTTAGACATTTTGATAACTCTTTCACCAGTCATCATAAATGCTTCATACTTAGGAGCTTCAACTTTATTTGTATTTGTTCTAGTAACCATTTCTAACGGTGGTGGATGATGTTGTGGTGGTGGAGGTGGAGAATCTATATCACGGAGTAATAACTGAGGGGAGTTTCCATCTTCAGCCAGTTTATCATGTACTTTATTTTTTATAGCAGGATCTAAAGTCGTAAATTTATCAATTTAACAATAAATCATCTAAATAGTATGAAAATATATACTAACCTCTGACTAGTTTCAGAATAATGGGGTTTTGTGCTAATCTCAAGCATTTTAATACTAAAACATATAAGAAATATAAATTAATGTTAAAATATTATGATTAAAAAAATAAAATAGACAGTAGTTACTGCACTCGAAGAATAATAATTAATTAAAGCTTAGGTATTAAAATTTAAACATTTAACTACATTTTTTTCTTTAAATTTAGAGTTCAATATAAGATCAAATACATGCTTATTGGTGATTAATAAATGTTAAAAATTTAAATTTATAAAACAATAATTTTACCTTCTTTTATGGTACATTTCCGAACATCTTCATTATTAATCTTTGTGATAACATCTCCAACTTCGATCTAGAAAATATAAGTAGGTACTATTATAAACGTTAAAACAAATATTATAGGTGTGTGAAAGGAATGACAATAATCAAATATTATACTTGATTCCTGTTTCCAATGTTTAAATTAGTAATTAATTATGTGATAGGCGAGTACACCTGTGTATGTCATTTAAATCTTACAGAAATTAATATGAAAAAGTCATGTCCCATTCAGATTTTAACCGGTGAGTATAGAGTAAAATAAAAATATATCATTACCAATAGGTATAGCGATATAAGTATAGGAACAAGCATAGAAAATAGCTAGGTAAGTATATCATTTAATTATAAGCTTAGTATATTAATACATAGGTACGATGAACACTAGTTAATATGCTACTAGTGATGTACTGTTTTTGTGCAATTTGACATTATTATTTCAGTACATCTTTTAATTTAATAACAAGGACATTTTCAAAAAGATGTCAAATGTTAAATTGTTTTAAATTATAATTGATAGTATTTGAAGTGGATAAAATTAACACAAATGTAGGATATTTCACTTAATAATCAATAGCAATTCAGGGCCAAATCACTTTTCAGATTCAGAAATGTGTGTAGGCAAGCATAAATTTTATAAAAAAATAAGAATATGCTCTATATTTCTGAATGACCATGCATAATGCCCAGATAGTATCTATGTCAAGTATAAACATTGACTAGAAAGGTAATGTTATTAGTTAAACAATAACTAATGGTTAGATAAACAGCTTTGGTCACCTACACCTAGGTCAGTGACACATCAAAATATTTTAGTAAATAGTTGAGGTTGAAACATACTACAGACTCCAAACAACTATCAGAGAATGAGGAATTAAACAAATAACAAAAACGAAATGAGCTCAAGCATCGTGTCGGAAGCACGTAATGGTAAATCAGTATCTGCAGCCATTGAGCTGCTGGACAAACGTGGAAAGACAGGAATGGCTTCATTCAAGCAAGAGCCGGGTAAGTAATGACGGTAAGAGTGAGCACTGCAATACCTGGGCGCATTCGGCTGCCGGCGTGTTCTCGATGATGTCGTAGATGACTGGCGGGCAGTCGGCGACACTGAGCAACGAGAATCCCAGACCAGAAGGCATTTCTGGCCGGGACAGGGTAACCGAAATCTCGACGGCCATGGCGGCGGAGGCCGGGGGGGCTAGGTCTCGATGCCGGCAACGGCTCGTTGGCGGCCCCACAACAGTGTACCCGACCTAGGGCTGACCGGTCACTTGTCGGGCACGAGCGTACACACCGGTGACCGCCTAAGTCATGTCTGACATGCGGGTGTGTGTTTGTGAGTGAGTGTGTGTGTGTGTGTGTGGGGGTAGGTGGGTGCGCGCGAGAGTTCGGTCGCTTCACAGGCGGCTGCGGCAGCCGCTGTTGCGGAGGCGGCAAAGCTCACGAACGGTCGGGGAGAACATGACGAGGAACGACGGCGGCAACGACTATAATACAAAATATACACGACACTACGACCAGCACGGGCACATGATACGGCCGGACACGGTATGACGGGGGGAAACGGTCTCGCGTAGTAGTGATATCCGCGACCCCGCGATGACGTCACGGTCGTCCCGTCACCCCCACCCAAGCGCCGCCGACGGTTATCAGTAAACTGTAAAGTTATCACACTAACGTCCCTGTGCGCGTATTGTACTATAATATTCGCCACAAATGAGATACATCATAATATTATATTATTATTATAAATTATAATATTATTATTATTATTAAAATATATAATTGTGATGATCATAATAATAGGTAATCATCTATTATTATTTATTACGTCAGCGGTAATTTATGTGTTGTTATTATAAGTATGGGCCGCGGATTTAATAAACATTAAACATTCAAACCTACGCGTTTGCCTATAGGCTATAGGTATTATTGTACAAGGTGATTCTTTAGTAGTTTATTCACAGAATATATTAAATGGCCAGCTGTGCCCAGTGCCCTACACTGCAGCTTACCTACTGCACCATATAAATTTGTCGGACAATATGATTTTTACAAGACATTATTTTTAAGTTATTTTTCACAATTCAATTTTATAGTGGTGATGTTTAGGTTTTATTAACTACAAGCTAAGAATATTATTTCTAAATGGGTTGATGTAGGTACCTATATATGATATCAATTTATTATAATTTAACAAATATTGGACGAATATTTAAAAAAAAATTCAAGTAGACAAATGACTGACAAATGCCTGACAAATGCCTACAAACTCTTGCCAGTCATAAAAATAATGCACATGCTCCTATATTGATATTTGTTCGCCTCGTTTACAGTTAATAGTGTAGGTAAATGGTGATGTAAATGTATAATATATTAATATCATTTTATCATTCAGAATATTAATATAATATTAATTGTTATTTAAGATTACACTGCCAACTTTGACGAACACGTGTGTGTACGGATGTGCGATTATTGTGCAGACGTGCAATTCTGCAATCTCGTTTCGAATGTGGAAAATGTTCTCTCGGAAACTATATATAGGTAGGTAGGTACTCGCAACCCACTGTTGCACCTACCTGTATATAGGGCATAGGCCATACCGTATTGTACACAGCCACGACGGGAATTGTTATTTTTTTAAGACACAAAATTTACCTTTTCTACGTGATATTTCATACGTACATCTACTTAATTAGTCCGCTCTCGGTATATACCTGGTTATTATTCAACGACGGGTTTACCGTCTAAATACGCATTTAATTGGCTTTCACGTGTTGTTCTCGTTCGTATAGGTACCTACCTCTCTGGTTCGCAACGGCGGTCGGTCGTTACACACACTCGTGCACACTCGCTGCGTATAATATAATTTAATATATTATATTATAATTTTATACACACACATAATATATCGCATCAACGAGCGTGGTCGGCGATGTCGTCGCAACAAGGTCGACTTTGAAACCATAAACGAGTCATTATAAATTATAATATAATAAATTATTATATCAATATTTGCACGAGTATCTATACACACTGCAATACGTATACGAATGCCAATGTCGATATGACTGTACATACATCAATAGGTACATAATATGTTAATATGTTTATGCTCTCAGTTGTGGATCTATAATGCTCGTTTGTGCCGTTAAGACAAGGAGTGGAGGCTATCGTGGAATTTGTTTTTTAAATCTAAAACCATTATACCCTATTGATAGGTATTAATAGTTTCATAAAAACCGTCAATTTTAACTAATATACAGGCACTTAAACTATATTAGTTTAGGGTGGGTGAAAATTAATCTCATACCTCAAGCCTACTCTTTATATTTTACTCCACTCAATATATTATTTTTGTATCAAAATTAGGGGTTTTAACAATTTCAGAGAGGCCGCGCATATGATCGCTTATCATCAGCCGACGTACCATGCTGGTACCGTCCCCCGCTGTAACCTATCCTGTGTTATTAAAAATATTTTTTTTTACATACGAAAGAAATCAGTCTCTTTTTAAATATTGGTTTTAAGTAATGTATTATAGAATAATTAATTACTATATTAACTATAAATATTCTTATTTAATGACTTTTCGTTCCAAAGTAAATTTGAGGGGACCAGTATGGTTTGTACTATGAAAAATTGTTTTTTAGTAAGTATTAATTTTGAACTGCGTAGAGTGTTAAAAGTATTTTTATTTGAATAACACTAATAACACTAGATAATCAAACATATCCTGTGAAATTACGAGTTTATTTTTTTTTAATAACTAAAATAAGTTGAATAAAATTTAAATATTAAAACGACCCAACTATAACTTAATGTTTTTATTACAATAAACAATGTCATACAGTACCTAATGATGGTTTTGATGGGCGGTGATTGACTCGATCGCCCCATAAAAGTTTTGTAAATACCACAACTGGTGTTATATATTTTGTTAATTTGTTATAACTTATTATATGGATACTACGTCTTGAATCTTGATTGGTTATTTTTGTAGTCTGTGTCAGTGTGACTTCGATTATGATGACAAGACCATCTGCACATAATTTTTGTTTTATCTTGATTTTCACAATTACCACAAATTAAGATAGTACTATCTTAATTTGTGACGATAACTAAATAATAGATTACAAATTTAATTCTAAATTCTCTCAATCTATTTTTCCGTTATGTCTTATTAAAGAATTAAATTATAACTTATGTAAAGTCTTTATACATTTCAACAAACAAACCTAAGGATCGTCGGTCTATAATTCTATATCCAAGATATATTATTCATTGCGATTTCAAATTCAGCCAAACATTTTATTTAGAACTTTAGAACACAGTATGTATATGGCTTTAACGTTTAACGCATTATGAACGGTATCTTAAATTTATCATAATAATATATATAATTTATAATTATTATAGACAACGTATAACATACCTTAAATCCCTCTCAACATTTAGCCTCGAGACTTGTATTTAAAAATGTGTTTCCTGTGTTGAAATAATACTTAAATTACGTGTAACCTAAAACAATAATCCAGGCAAGGGCGTTTACCCTTAAAATAATTAAATATCACTATAAATAATATTTATTAATATATATATTGTCGTTGGAACGTCCCAAATTCCTAATTGAACGGATGATTGCAGACTATGATGTAAATATTATGTAATAGGAATACATACCGAATGAATAAATAATCTTGACATCAAATTAAAGCCAAATACAAAACCATCTAAATCAAAGAAATATAATAAGTACTATTGTTTTCATGCCACATGAATAAATAATTAACAAATGAAGTAAAATATTTACTCATAAAAATTGCATTTTTATTTAAGTTTTCGGTTACAAATTTGGAATATCTGCACTTACCAAATGTTAAATGTATTAGCTTCTATTCACGAATAGCAGAGAGAAAATTTAAATTTTTTAGTTTACGGCATCTTCCAACACTAAAAATTGAAACTAATGAATTATGAGTTGACTTTAAATGTATTTTAAAATGTAATTTTAAATACCTATGTTTACCTACAAATATGTTACAACAATAAATATAACGTATAATTTATAAATAAGGTCATTTGTAATTACATAAACCATTTTAAAGTTGCATGTGAATTAGTAAATATTATTGGTAAATCTAAAAATAAATAAGTCTTAAGTAAGTTCTATAGTATATTAGTATATACGTATACATAATTCAAGTCCAAAAAAACATGTTCGTAGAATAAGACGAAGGTCAAATCTTTAACGTGATTTTTTGTTAGCTTATTAGAATGGATACGCATTGAAGTGATATCTAATTTTGTCAACATTTAAATTAATCAAAAATTTGATTCTTATTCGAATTTATGATAAAAATTTGGTTTTTGAATAAAAAAAAACAATAACTTGTACCGTATCGCTTAAGCATTACACGAATTATCCACCAAACGCTGTGTTTATATAATATACCTATAGGCTGTAGGTACTACGAAATTCATAGTTAGGTAATAATAAAGTTATACAGTCTGTTGCCTTACCTCATAAAAAAACCTGATTCAGATCAAAATTATCATTTCGCATAAATATAGTGTTGTATAGGTATAGCAAGTAAAATATTATAAAATTAATAAAATATAAATGAATAAATGGCTATTATAGCTTTCCGCTTTGCAGGGCACACGCTGTGTAACTACAGCAGTATATTAAACATTATACGCACATATTATGTTGTACACTAATCTACAATTCGGTCAGTTCGTTTTAATGAATGAAAACCTGTGTGGAGGTACTTGGAATATTGTAGAATAATTCGCGCTGCAAACATCAATGAGTGAGTCCGAACAGAGAAGTGCGCACGCCACGCTGCAAAAACGGCGATGAGCGCCGACCCGAAGCGTTGACTCTCTTTGAAGTCAAATACACATATTATTATTATTATTATTATTATTATTATTATAGATGTATATGATACGTTGCACTGGGTATAATATATATGTATAAAATCGAATATTATATGCAAATAAAATACGAATAAAAATATCACAGTGGACGTCGCGGCGCGGACCCGAGAAAAAATACAATTTCTGGTAAACGTGTTTCGCGTAAAATGCACATTTTATAATACGCCAACCGGCTATCACATGTTTATTACATAAATTATAAAGGCAGATAACGATTTTTCGTTATTTACACTTTGCAGCAGCTCGTGCCTACCTATTTGCTTATACCATCACTATATATACTAACTGCTTGTATATGCCTACGGCCTACGCCCCGCTGCGTCGCACCTCCGTGGCTTCGTAGCGATGAATGAAAAATATTTTCACACGAACAGTCAATGGACGAACGACGCTGGGACATGTTTCGTGAAATGCGATAGTATACAACTATTATGTTTATTGTTTGATATTATCAGAACTGGGCAATGGCCATTAGCTAGTTTGAAAAAATATTTTTTTTTAACTGTTGAACATAATTAGTTAATTAATTACTAGGTATATGACTTAATAACTTAACTAGTTGAAGTATACACAGAAATAACTTCATTTTTGTAAGTTAATTTGAAAAATAATATA